TATATATATAGGTTTTCTTTTGTTTGTTAAAAGGAAAAAGGGGAAGGAAATGCACACAAGCAACATGCTGAACAAAAACCAATAAGTGAACCCAAAAACTTTGAGCAACACTGAGGCCAAAAAGCATCAAACAGATGAATGAAACTAAAATGCTGTATTGTAAAAAGTGAGAGTTGAAATATATTGTTTTGGTAATTGACTTAATAAAGTGAAGCTACACATGAAAAAAAAATCTCTCTAGAACTTTTTTCTTTCAAACAAGCAGAATTCTCTACTATCATTAGTATCCGCAGGAGAGTGGAAAGCCTAATCGCACCATAATCTCACTTTTCTAGGTCAATCAAAAAATAAATAAATAAACTAAATGGGTAGTAACATTTCACATTATACCTAATCCATGGTCATCCATTAGTAACATGCTTTAGATTCAGATTAAAGACATATCAAAAGTGAAAACTTTAGGAAAGGGGAGCAGGTTACGTGTATGTATGGCTCTGGCCTTAATGAGGTTGTTTCTGGGGGTTTCTTTGTGTTCGCTGCTCTTTAGTCAAGAGGAGGGATGGCCTGGTAATCAGTCAGTCCTGAAAGCGCACACAGGGCCGATTTGTCACCGGTGGCTGGCACTGGCAGCACACAGCTCCTACACTCGCATGATTTGTGAAACTAGAGACTGTATTTAGTAGGCCCATTTAAAAGCATATTGGAGAACTGTTCCGATTGTTTGTGTGTGAGTGTGTGTGCATGTAAAGCTAGACACTTGGTCAAAGCTTAACATATTTGCTTGCACTGGGGAAAAGGAGGTTTTCAGCTGGGTGGGGGTGTTTTGTGAAACATGAGCCTCTACTCTCATTAAAGGGGAAGCGGTGCTTAAAGCAAAGCTTGTTTGCGCCTGCTATGTTTGCGAACATCAGCGAGAGCAAATAAATTTATTTACTTGGCTCAGCTTCGGAAGAACAAAATCAGCCTGCGACTTATAGGATTGGTGGCAAAAGCTGAAAACTTCCTCAATTCACTTTATTTTCTGACTGCATGTTAAAAAGCACATTTATTTGAACATGGCCAGGCTGTGAGGAGGTCTTCCAGAGGAATGAAAGAGTTTGAGCACCGCATACGGACAACATGTAGGAGGTACAAGGTATATTAATAACAGCCATACTTCAGAACTACTGGGTTTTTATATCCTTGTGGTCACCTACATAAACTTCCAATTACATTTTATTTACAGCTGTCTAAAAAAGAACTTTCACTTTACGTCGTTAGAAATGTTGACTGGGAGAATTACTGTATTTTTCTCTTTTGATAGAAAAGACCATCCATCCACACGTTGCTACAATTTTCTGTTGCCTTTGGGACACTGCTATTACATGAACAGAAAACCCTAATGAGAACATTCAAAAACACACCTCCATCACATACTGTAAATATAAAACCAATGCTATTCATCGATCTTCTGAGACTTAAGCAAAGATCTCTAGACATCACTCTGCACATCTTCCAGCTCATCCTTTGGAACACCAAGAAGTTTGTGGGCCAGTCATGAAACACCTCCCATGAAAGTATTGCAGGAGACATCCTCACCAGATGCCCAAACCACCTCAACAGACTCTTTTCACACACTAACTGGAGCACACTATGCCAGTTGATTTTGTAGCAATCCATCTATCAATCCCTTGCTCCTTTTACCCCAACTTGTAAACAAAACCCTGAGCTACATAAACTCCTCCACTTGGAGCACTGGCACATTTAAAACTAGGAGTAGACAACCCTATGACCCTATAACCCTAGTCATCTAAATCCCATTTCCTAATTTCACCCATACTCCGTGCGTACTTCCACCAACTGAGCTCAAGTGAAGGTTACAATTTCCCCATAAGTCACTGATATGCCATCACTTGTCACTTATGATGTCAGTATGGTCCGACTGTATGTACCATGTAAAAGATGTCAGTACAAATTGTTATTTTTCATGCTTACTAAGGAAAACTGATGATACCAAAAATGAAGTGATTAACAGAGAACAATATAAGAGTTTTTCTGTTTATAAAGCTTGATAAGGACAGTCAACAATGTATACATCAAAGAATTGGTGATAGGGAGGTGGGGCAGTTCCATTGGGATGCTTAGCCTGGAGGCCGCCAAGCCTATATCTCACTGAGGGAAACACTGGTGATGGTAAAATATTTTAAACTGACTTGAATTTCACATTAGCATATAATGAAGGCAATCCAAAGTAGGTTGTAAATCTAGATAGAAGAAATACAGCAAACAGTAGACCTGGGGTTTTCATCTCAGATATGATAAAGTTATAGAAACACTGCAAAAATTGTCTATAAGTTGATTTTTCAGTGGGAATAATAATGTTTAAAACATGTAAGTTAACAAAATTATGCTAAACAAATGTAGTACCAATTTAATAGTGATTAAAAGTGAAAAATAAATTCTAAAGTGAATGTGTCTTTACATGTTTTGTAACATTGTTTGTGGGTTGGCAAGGGGGGACCCTGGCCAGAAGCTAATGCTAATGCTAATCGGGGAGCCATGGCATGGAAATATTTGGGAACCTTTGTACTAACCAAGAGTAGCATGTGTCAAAACAAGATCAAAAATACTTTTTGGCTGATATAGGATTGAAAGACTTGGTTAGATGGACATTTTTTGCAGTGCAGTTTTCTTTGATGACTGGTCTTCTATATAACTGTGCTAGTCACCATGTAAAACTCTGTCCAAAATTCACTTTATGTTTATGAAAATGCTTTTGATGGTTGTGAATATAATGCATTTGACACTAAATTTAAAGTGACACTTTTATAATGAGTTGCACATTTTACATACATCTCTGCACTTGTGGAGTGAAGTCTCTGTACAATGCACTGGATCCTTAAAAAGCATGGTCTCATTCAAACTTCAACCCAAAATCTGAAAAGTCTATTCAAGTACATTCAAAAATTCTGGTTCTTGTAACTCACCCGCATATGTCGCATTTGTACTCTCGCATGCCGAGATGTCTTTTTACGTGGTTCCTGGCATCTCCAAGCTGAGCAGTAGCAAAGTTGCAAATTTTACACATAAAGGGCTTAGATCCTGTAAAACAAATGGCAGAAAGAAAGAGGTGAMAAATTAAAAAAAAACATCTGTAGGTATGCAGTACAACCATAAAAAAATATTCAGGACAAAGACAGAAGTTCCTACTCCAGTACTCATAAATACAAACTACAGTCACACCAAGTGCCAAGCATATCTTCCAGTCTATCTATCCTTGTCACTCTCCTGCATCTCTTACCAACTTTTTTTTGCCTCTGGATGTGTAAATTGGATTCCAAAGGTCAGAACGAATACGTAAATCAATTCTGTGTGTGCTCACTACCTCCCATTCCATCATTAAAGCACTAATCACTCTGGTGGGTTTCACAGGGAGGTTTCTTCCTAATTATTGTCATTAATAAGTCCAGAGGGCGGGGTAGCGTTTGAGAAAGTGGCAAAGCTTCTCTTTGCTATCCATCATTTAACAGCAGAGCAGCGAGGGGAGATGTCTGTACTATCTGTGTGATGCATGAACAGTCACCAGAGGACATTAAAAAGTCACTTTTTCTGTGCTTGAAGAGATATGTTTGGATGTCTAAAGGCACTCCAGTGCAAACTAAAACAAAACAAAATAAAACAAAATGTGACCAAAAAAATATGTTTTAGTGGATCCCAAGATTTGAAACATTTTCTTTTTGTTTGAGTTTTACATTTGAAGGGGAAAATTCGAGAATGATTCATTTTGAACTTGTCAAAGTTAAACTTTAAATCATGATGCTGTTATTATGACAGACGTCAAATCTTTAACTTATCAATGAACAGAAAATTCTAATCAATAGTTCAAAAGTATCTATTTGGACCCCTCCACMTTCATCACATCAGTTCACCCAGCGCTGTTTTTGTTAGGYGACTTCATGAGATAATCCATTCTACTTTATTAATAGGAGAAAACCTATCCGACTAAAAGTCCGCTCCGGGTTTTCCTGAAGAAAAATTAGCAACATTTCGGTGATAAATACTTTTATATCTGTGAAATAAAATTTGAATTTCTGGGGTTGGGAAATGTTTAGAAAAATCCTGTTGTGATGAACAGGTGTTAGAAACTTATGAAGAGAAGTTTTCATATAATTTCCTTATAGGTTTTACTGACATAATTTGTGTTATGTCAAAGAAAGGGATAGAAGGATATATTGTGATTAATTAACTGAATTTTGGATCTAGTCTTTTATTTTACACTTAGTTACAGCCATATCCTTTAAATGGAGAAAGAGTCAGTATGTCTTATCAGTCACTATTGTCCCCGACATTCTCTCCACCAAACTCTCCCAGCTCACTGTCTCTCCTGCCATGTGTGATTGGATCACCAGCTTCCTGACAGGCAGGATGCAGCATGTGCATTTGGGGAAAATCATGTCCTCCTCACAGACCATCAGCATTGGTGCCCCTCAGCGATGTGTGCTCTCTCCACTGCTCTTCTCTCTATACACCAATGACTGCACCTCTAATGACCAGTCTGTTAAACTCCTGAAGTTCGCAGATGACAGTACAGTCATCGGACTCATCCGTGACGACGACGCGTCTGCATACTGACAGGAGGTGGAACGACTGATGTCCTGGTGCAGACTGAACAACCTGGAATTGAACACGCTCTGTAGAGATGAGAGTGAACTTCAGGAGACACCCCCCGCACTGCTGCCCCTCACAATCTTCAACAGCCCCGTGTCTATGGCAGAGTCCTTCAGGTTCCTGGGAACCACCATCTCACATGACCTGAAGTGGGAGTCCAACATATCCTCCATCCTTAAAAAAGCCCCAGCAGAGACTGTACTTCTTACGCCAGTTGAGGAAGTTGGACTTGCCTCAGGAGCTGCTGATCCAGTTCTACACTGCAGTCATTGAGTCCATCCTGTGCACATCGATAATTACAGTCTGGTTTGGAGCAGCCACAAGGCAGGCCAGGAACAGGCTGCAGCGAACAGTGAGGATGGCTGAGATAGTCATCGGGGCCTCACTGCCCTCCATTCAGGACTTGTATTACTCAAGAACCAGGAAACGGGCTGAGGAAATTATCACAGACTCCACTCACCCGGGGCACAACATGCTCCAACTCTTCCCGTCTGGCAGACGCTACCGAACTCTGTCCACTAAGACTGTCAGACACAAGAACAGTTTCTTCCCCCAGGCCATCACCATCATCAACAGCTGATCATCAGACATCCATCAGCTAGACCATATATTCTATACCAGTGTTTCCCAAAGTTGGGGTCGGGACCCAAAGTGGGGTCTCGAAACATCAAGATGGGGTCCTGAAAAGGTTTTCTGAATTAATTACATTTTTGCCTTAGTTGTTACAAAGGAGTGAGGTTAGTGTATTTAAAATGGATAAATGTAATATAAAAAATATTGTTACAATGCCCATGTTTTGTTGACCTAAATGTTTATCATACAAAAGTGGGGGAGCACAGGTCTCTGCTACTGTTATTTTCTGGGTCAAAAGCTGAAAACCTTGGGAACCACTGTACTTTGGTTCCCAAAGTTGCGTTTGGGACCCAATTATGGGTCATGAAGCACCTTGGATAATCTCCAGAAATCAATTTAAAGGGTAATAAAGTTATTGCTGATGTAATATTTTCCATATAATTATTACATAAACACAAAATAAGTATAAATAAGTATTTACATTTGTGTACAAGCTGTTTAGATTGTCAAAAAGCCTGTGTTTTTAGGGTTATTAAYRAAGTTYGTGTAYTCAGACCRGTAATATTTGGGGTCACAAGTTTTTGCCATGGATATTTTATGGGTCAGAAGATAAAAAGTTTGGGAACCACTGTTCTATACTATAGAGAACTATCTATCACTCTTATTATACATTACTGCATTAATGAACCTTACTCATAATCATCTACCTCTACACTGCTGCTGTTGTACTAATATTTAATATTCACTCTGCATACTGCTGTCATATTTTTGTGAATAACATATAATATCCTGGTATAGTGAAGTATAATGTGTATCTTTCTGTATATTGTGTACTATGTGTAAATTATAAAGTAAATTGTAAAGTATCTGTATATTCTTAATACTAGAGACATGAACAGCCGGAAACAAATTCCTTGTGTATGTCAACAAACTTGGCCAATAAACCTGATTCTGATTCTGATCAGTATGTACTCATTACAGTTTTTGTATTATTGAAAATGTTTTGCACAAATAAAATTCTAAAAAAAAAAGAATTTGCAACCTTTATACAACTCCTAAGTTCAAAATTTCATAGTGGTTCGAGCGAATGACAGTATACAATTTTCCAAAAGTTGTTCATTTCTAATTACATTATTTTTGTCATAATGTGAAAATCCTGTCAGAAGTGGTTGCTCTGAAAGTTACTATAGCTACAGCTGAATCTACTGCAAACAGCAACAAAACTTCATGTACCTACTCATGCAATGTGATGACAGCAATGTAATTTTTTTAAAACACATTTTGCATGAACCGCAATGAATTGTTTTAGATTGGAGCTGTTTTAAGTCCACAGTAATCCATTTTGGTCTTAGCTATTTCCTTACTAGCCATTTGCTCAAATTATTTTCCTTCAGATTTGTCAGTCAAAGGGCAGCCTACCACAGGCAAGACAATATTTGTTTATAACCATTTCCTCAAAATGGCTTGACTGTTTTCAAACTTGCTCTTCTTCATCTAGGTAAAATATATAAAACTGGTCAAAGAAAAGGAATAATTTAATGACACACTATTAAATTTAGTTCGGCATGGTACACTGCAATATGTCAGTTTAGGTGGCGGCCTGATATGATTTCCACACTTAAATCTTTGAGCAAACCTCTCATCCTCTCCCAAGGAACATCCCAAGATGTTTTGTATTTATTCCAGGGGCAGCTGCTGATTTGATTAAACACTTTGTATAGATTAGTAATTTGTTCATACACGGCTCACTTGCTGGGAGCTGAAAGTATGACACATAGAATTTTACGCCAGTAACCAAGATTGAAAAGCAAGCCTGTGCTAACAAGGTCCATAAACACAAGGGACAGACAGTGGAAAGAGGATAGTAGGGGTCTACACATGGACAGTTGTAAAAAACAGCTTCTTCATGTCAAATGTCCCAACAGAACACAACACATTTACACACAAGCAAATGAAGAGAAAAATACATTATGTCCCTAAAATCACRCTCTTCACACCTAAATGTTGAGAAATCGCGCAACAATTTCATGGGTACCTGATAAAAACAAAAGGACAGACACACAGGGTCACACCAAACCCACCATCACACCTTCATGCAGCTTCAGAACCCCACCTCACTGTCCCTCATGTAGACACATTATGTTCTCAAAACAGAAAAAAAGGAAAGACAATCATCCCTTCGCCTTCTCACTCACACATGCTCACACATTCAGCCTATAGTTGAAATAAGAGAGCGAGGGAGAGGCGTGTGGGGAGATGATTTGTCCAGATGGCTGGCTGAGTATGAAACATGGCAGAGAGGAGAAAGATGTAACACCCCCACCACACATACACACACACACAGACACACACACACACACACACACCACCCCACCCCCCAAACCCATTCAAACATCTTATCACATTAATACTCCACCACTCCACTTAAACAGCTGCCCTGAAACTGAAATTGACCATCAATGCAGTGTCATGTTAAATTAATATTGCCATCCACACAGGGGCAATGTGGCTCCCTCACATCCCAGATGAGACAGAGAATGACTAATTCATTTCCTGAGAGGAGAGAAGAACCTCGTGTAATGCTTCACCTCACACACACACCAAATGTGACATTCTAAGTCTTGTGCATGCCACACAGTGCTGTCATAACCTTGGCTTTTACTTTTACATAAATAAATATTGTTCTCAGTGTTCATGTTCCTTTTATTTTAGACAGAAAGGCAATGTATTCAGATAGTTTATTTAGTCCGAATTTCAGWAGCCCAGTTACTATTTTTTTCTGCGATACAATGAGTGAATTTGGTTAACACTGTACCAAGTCGATATATTAACCATGGTGCTTTCTCAAAATGTTYCACCTG